GGGGGGTGGGGGGAGGAGTTGATATCAAGGGCTCAAGTAGAAAGAAAATGTTTTAGAAATGATGATGGCAACATATGTACAAATGTGCTTATTACAATTGATATATGGATTATTATAAGAGCTGTAAGAACCCCCAGTAAAATTATTTATTAAAATTAAAACAAAACAAACAAAAATGTGTACTTTCATTTTAGAAATTCTGCTGTGGATAACTGGACCAAAATATAAATGATGTACTTATCAATCTTGACATATTAGCATTCAAATATTTTTATGAGTAGTAACTTTTAAAAGACTATTTATTTTACCAATGGGCTATCAAGTCTGATAAACTCAGAAAACAAACTTCTTAAAATCACAGAATTTCAGAGAAGAGTCATACATGTAAAATTATATGAAATTTCTACTTTTTTGTGTCATTATATTAGGAAAACAGCTATCTTAAAGATATTTCAAGTTTGTTATAAAAATAAAATTAAATATTACATTGCTTGAATTTTAACATTAAGGTTTATATGCTATAGCACAGTGTGTTCTACGAGGGCATGCAGTGGTCATAATACTTACTGTAACTGTAACATCCACTTATGAAATAACTGTTCATATTGCTGATTTAGTTGTTTCAGCTCAGCAGAAAAGGAAGGTGAAACCTTGCTCAATAAGTTACGCAAAGTTTGCTTTAAAAGAAAGTGGGAGAGAAATCACTCTCAAAACAATGAAGCCAATCAGTTCAAATGAAAACCGTTTCCCTGTACACAGAAGTCAGAAGAAGCTACAGGTAGATAAGTGCAACATATATTACTTTACTTGACTTAAAATTTGGTTTTTTAAGATTTTTTAAAAAAACATTATTTTTGTAGTCTTGTTAGTAGAACAAGGATCTGCAATGCTTTGTGTAGAATCATCTACATGATTGAAAATTCCAACCATAAGGGCTTTTACTGCTAAGATCATTACCAACAGATCATTGAACCTGACTCCCAGTTCGACAGTACAGTCAGACTTTTCATGGATCGAGAAAAATGTATAAGCTTAAAGCAACAGTACAATATTAATTCTCCAAGGACATCAAATTACTTATAATTTGCGATTTTCATTAGTAAAATAAACTTGTCCCGCTATTTCTCTTCTCTTTTGGGACAATTTTTAAAATCTCTTATAAGTATAGTGACGTTTTCACCCTGCAACTACCACGTTCTCAAGATTCTACCTTTAAAGTACATAGTCACTAATTCTGAGGATTAGATTTGCAATTGTCATTGCAGGTCTTTACTTATCCACACACTGAAAGAAAGTAGCACGAGTTCTCAATACGATTTCTAAATAGGCCAGGCAATTTAAAAATCGTTGCCATCACTTCTGGAGTTTGCTGGGTTGCTACTGAGTACTGAGGAGTTAATCCCATCTTTCAGCAGCGGACGGGCGGAGTAGCACTGCCCGTGTGATTTCAAGGCTACGGTGCTGATGGGCGCAGACAGTTAGGACTTTTCTCCTACACGGCAGCTGGGTGGGCTTGCTTATCTCGAGCCGACACCGACACCAAATTACCCAGAGCACCCTACATGTGGATGCTTTCATTTCAAACTTTGGTATCTGTGGAGAACTGCACCGTTGGCTCAATTCTTCATTTCCTTTGCTTTCCTACCACTAACGGGGTACAGTGCAGTTCAGTGCTTCTGGATGTTGGTGTCCCCCCACCCCACCCCCACTGACGAGCTGTGGCCTCTAGAATGCGACAGAAGTGACACAGTGCCGGCTCTGAGGCAAGGCTTCAAGAGGCCTGGGTTCTTTCACGTCCTCTCTCTTTGTGACGTGGCCATCACCACAAGAACACGTGTCAGCGAGCCAACTGATCCAGGGAGGGAGAGGGTGTGAGTACCACAAATGTGAGTAATGGAGTGATTTGCACGGGTCACGGCGGTTATCACATGCAGCGGTCGCTATTCCAAAATCAGTGGAAGGCGTTCCCCTCTCCTGTCATGAAGCGCTTCCTTCACTCCACTCCAGGTCCCTGGAGTCCTGCTTCAACTAGAGTAATGCATTTATCCTTTCCTCATATGATTTCTATAAAAATATATGCATTCTTCCTCTGAATGAACTGGCTTCTTGTCATACAATTTCAATTAGTCCCTGATCTGAGTCTAATATCCATGAACCAAGTAACAAGCATAGGACATAGGGGCATATCCAGGGCATAAAGTCTCATTCTGTTCGATGGCTAGTTCCACATGAAAATTCTTACATCAAAAAGTCACGAAACCTTAGAAAATCATACTCAACTCTGACCGCCGAGAATAATAAAATCTTGATATTCTCTGAACCAATCTTTTCTTCTTCATTTAGATGATCAACTCTACCTTCGAGTGAAAAGATTCCCTCTCCTAGGGGGATATCAGTGAAAATCCCAGCTAGTACAGTTGCGTGGTATTTCCAGGAAAATGAGCGTGAGAAGCAGAGTACAGCTATCTCATTCCTCACCTCAATTCATAATATCTGTAAGCGGAGTACGCTCTGCTCCTTGTAAGGCTATAACTCTGAGGGAGTTATTAGGCTAGCCTTTTTATGATTATTTGTTATAATCTCTATAACAGAGGTTACTAGTACAGATGCATCAAAGACACTATAACCCTGATGATTAGGATAGAGCTTGAAGAAGTTATCAAATAACAAAGGAAATAGTAAGTATAAAATAAGTCTATAAATTTTAACATTCATTAGCGTTCATTTAATCAGGAAAAGACTTCTCCTTATGGTGTCTCACTCAAAAGTAAGAGTCTTGCTTACAGGGCATGTTTGTCAACTCAAAGGGAGCTGACAAGTTCTGTCCTTCACGACATACCTGATCCAGTTTCCCCTGTTTCAGCTTCTGCAGTGTCCTATCGGAGGTTAAAACTTTTGAACTGCTGTGAGCTTCGAAATATTCCTCTACTAAGTCACTCTGAAACGGGACAGAGCAAAGTCAGTTCTCAGTTGTTTCAGACGTCGGTGTTATTTCAAAACAACACAGCGATAGCAGTGCAAAATAGAACTAATGAAAAAAATTCATTACTTTCATTACAGCTCTTATCACAATCCATACATTCATCCATCGTGTCAAGCACATTTGTACATATGCTGCCATCATCATTTTCAAAGCAATTTCTTTCTATTTGAGCCCTTGATATTAGCTGCTCGAGAATGTTTGATAGCTGGTAGCATCGTTATGCAGTTAGTTCAGGACCAAAGGATAGGAGCCCTGGTGGCATTGTGGTTACATGCAGGGCTGCCAACAGCAGAGTTAATAGTTTCAAACCACCAGCTGCTCCAGCCACGCCAGGGAGAAAGACGGGGCTTTCTCCTCCCGTGAAGTTCACAGAGGTCCGATCCTTGTCCAGTGGGGTCGCTGTGAGAGGAATTCACTAGACGGCAGTGAGGATTTCTAATAGACTAACTCTGAAGACCATAAAAGATAAAATTAAAAAAAAAAAAAGACTGAAGTAGTCTGCTCCTAAAAATGATTCTTAGGTACCAATATACAATCTTCACTTACCAAGACTTGTGCTTGCCCTCAAATAGCCCCAACAGATTCTTCACCATCAGCGTACGCAATGAAGAACTGTGGAAGGGGCGACCAGCGCAGCAGAGCCAGGTAAAAAGGACGTGTCTGCCATTCTAGAAAAAGGCCTCACTACTTGTTTGATTTCCTGTCTCTGGACAGGACTAGTCTCTAGGTCGGTGGTTCTCAACCTGTGGGTCACGACCCCTTTGGGGATCGAATGACCCTTTCACAGGGGTCGCCCGACTCATAACAGTAGCAAAATGACCGTTATGAAGTAGCAACGAAAATAATTTTATGGTTGGTAGGGTCACCACAACATGAGGAACTGTATTAAAGAGTTCCAGTATTAGGAAGGTTGAGAACCGCTGCTCTAAATGATCTTTATTTATAATAGCTTATGTACGTAATTTTCTATCAATTTCTACAAATGATAATTTGGGAATTTTTCATCCTATTCTACAAATATCACTTCTAATATTTACATACCAGTCTACTGAGTACACATGTTGTAACTTATGTAACCATTTCCCAGTGGACAGACATTTAGGTTGTTTGCAACTCTGTACTACACATAATGTTGCTGTGAACATTTTTACGCATATAACTCACTGGTGTTACAGTGTTGGTGAACACTGGTGAATGATCATTTCCCTATGTTTGTTCAGGAACTGGAGTTTTTCTTACTCTTGACATTTTCCAAGGGCCCTTCAAATCAAAAGCTGCTGATTAGGAGAAAGATGAGGTTCCCTCTCCCATAAAGATTTACAATCTTGGAAACTTATAGGGGGGCAGTTCTACTCTAGCGAGTCGGCATCCATTTGATGGCAGTAATTTTGAATTTTTGACCTTGAGTTACATTCTCCTTGAGGGGGATCGGAAGACAAAAGGAGCAGCCAAAGCTAATCTTGGTAGCAGATTAAAGAACTCCTTCCAATTGCTTAAGCAATGACAACCCAACAGAAAACTGTACAAAGCAGTCACACAAAAGGAATTACAAATGGCTGTAAAAACACAGGGAAAATATTTGTAAGTCAAAGAAGAATGCAAAATTAATTGCTCACAAGATTTCTATTTTAAAGTATAAGCATATGCATTTGTTTAAAGAATAGGGGAAAATAAAAATGAGATATTCAGAAATGATTACAAATGACTTGCTCTTAAAATTCCTATAGCAAACTTGAATTTGTTTTTTGTTTTTGTTTTTATTTTTTAAGTAAAAGAAAAAAAGTTACAGTTCCAATTCTTAAGGACATTCTGTATTAAAGACTACAGGGACAGATTCATTATAGTATTTAATGAAACATGCAGGCCTAAGAAGATAAAGGAAAATGAAAAAAGAAAAATTGAGATTGGACTTCCCCTCCTATGGGTCTCTTAGGGCATCCTGTCTTTGGAGGATCACATTACTTTAATTTAAGGCTAAAAGTATCTCTCTTAAGACACTTACTGTTTTACCCTTCTTCATTTTCTTTGAAGGTGTTTCTTTGTCAGCAGCTGTGGCAACTACTCTGTTATGAGTCTGCGTCTTTTGCCTCGAAATGACCTCACTAGTGTCTTCATCTTCCTGCGCAGTCCCTTCCTCATCCTCCGAGTCAGAAGTAGAATATTCACTTTCACTGTTGGAATGCGAACTTGGAGCTGGGGGGGGGGACGGACCATGAGAATAATGAACGAATTAACAAGAGAAACTCTAGAGTACAAAGTAACATTGTAGGCTTTGAAGAGAGTTTGCTTGAGCTTCACCAAGAACACAAATTCTCTGAGGACCAACTTCCTTTTGTCAAATTAGGCTAAATAGTGCCTAGTTTAATAAATGGTTGTGAACTTTATACTGAAATTTATGCAAAGCACCAATAATGCCTGACTCGGTTGAGACAGTGGTAGAATCTGTCAAAGGATGCTAACTCCATCTTCTTCCTTCTCCCCGGCAACAGGACTCCACATCTTAATGTGGCAGTGGCCACCTGCAGGGAGGAATCAAGACAAGGTCCTTCTTTTGCCGGATGCTTGATTTCCCAGCCTGTCTCGGAAGTAGTGCTGACCTCTACCACTTCCCAGAAATCATCAAGCTAGTTTTATACTCATCAAAATAAGTAAAAAGTTAGGTTTAAAAGTTTGTTGTAAAATATGAGTGAGATAACTTTTACCAAGTCAGGATAATTATTTTGAGCACTAGATCTCTTTCATAGGGTTGTCTAGCTATAGAGAGCATACAACAAGTAGGGCTACTAGTTTTTAAGAATGTTTCTTTGGCTTTTCTCAAGGACTTGATTTTGTAGGCAGACATCAGGGGGGCCTCAAAATTTTCATGAAAAAAAAATTCTATTATCTTTTAATTGCATTTTAAAAATATTTTAAGATCATTTTATTGGGCATTTAAAAAATGTGTAAATAAAACTTCATTGTGCACTCGGTTAAGGTTTGTAGAACAGACTGTTTTATATTCAGCGATTCATACACATTTTGTTTAATCTCATTGTTATTCCAATGTAACCTGGCTTACTCCACTTCCTCTTTGAGATTCCTGTTTCCATCCCTCTTTCCTAACCCTTCTGAACTTCATCCTTGGGTAAGTGCTGCTCCTTGAGATCATAAAGGGTTGGTTTTCCTAAGGTATGCGAGCATTTTAGTATTATTATTTTCCTTATAAACCTATCTATTATTTGGCTGAAAATTGAGCCATGGGTGTAAGTTCAGTTCCAGATATGAAGAGTGACTAAGGGTTATAATCTTGGGGGTTCCACCAGTCTCCCCATGGCCAGTAAGCCAGGTCTCTTATGATTTTGACTTCCGTTCCTGTTGCCCCGGCTCTGTATGGGACCTTCAAAGGTGATCCCTTTCAGAGCAGCTGGAGGTGGTGGCCTGCCAGGAGTTTGGAAGCCCTCTGCAGTTGGGCAGGCTCGGGTCTTCATGGCTGCTGCTCATGAAAGATAACTGAGAAGTGGTCAGGGGCACCCTCTTTTACATGTACACATCCTGCACATACGCATATATGCTTGCTGGTGATGGGGAAAGGAGAGGAAGCTCACTTCTAAAAAGGTTTCTTCTTAAAGTTTTCTGAGATTGCATTTCTCTCGCCCAGACTGGGGGCCTAGATCCGCTACATTGGTCACCAGGGACAGACGGCAGCTAGACGGCGGCAGGGAGTCTGCACCACTCGCTGGTACCATAGGATGAGTTTACCCCTCAATCCCAAACCTTTCCTGAACGGATTAACAGGAAAGCCAGTGATGGTGAAACTGAAGTGGGGCATGGAGTACAAGGCTACCTGGTGTCTGTAGATGGCTACATGAACATGCAGTGTGCAGATACAGAAGAACACATAGACGGGGCATTGTCTGGACATCTGGATGGAGTTTCAATAAGGTTTAGTAATGTCCTTTATATCAGAGGTGTTGAAGAAGAGGAAGATGATGGAGAAATGAGAGAATAACATCTTTTGTGGGGTTTTTTTAATATATGTATATTTCTAGGCAATAAAGATTTGTTTTGTTTTTTTAAAAAAAGATCTGAAATTGATTGTGGTGATGGTCGCACAACTCTCCTTAATATGTTTGAATGATTAAATTGTATGATGGGTGATGTCTATAACCCATAAAACTGTTGTTTTAAAGATTCTTCTTTAGGTTACAGAGTATATCAGATATAAAATAATAACAAAAATAGCACATATTACCTTTTATTGTTAAAACATTCAACCACTTAGAATTACCAATTTTAGGCTGATTAAAAATACAAGACTAATAGTTCCACAAAATACAGGTCTTGAAGGGAACAAGCGACAGTGGTAAGCCCTGAAGTTTCGCTGGATTTGACAATGCTAGTTATTATTAGTGCCAGGGGTCAAAACCCCAAGAAAGGGGGTGACATCTTTCTGAAACATAAAAGTCTAATATTTATTTACTCCAATGACAAATATCTAAAGAGCTAAAACCATTTTTAATTGCTCAGAAGGCAGAATCCTGTGTGTCTATTTTGCTTTGTGTAGCATTTAGTGCAGCACCTAGTACAAATATAAATACTATTATTTCATTGTACCATTTTTTGCAGTATTTCAACAGAACTTTGTTATTTTTATTATCAGGAAACACTGTTGTAAGTGGAGTTTTGCGGTGGCTGTTGGGAGGTGGTTGCATGTTAATTCTGACTCATGCCCACCCTATGTCAACAGAAAGGAGCACCGCCTGTCCTGCCTGCACTGGCCACGCAATGTTCCCTTTAAGCCCCTGGTTGTGGCCTCTGTGTGAGCCAGTCTTGTGGACAGTTTCCTCCTTGTCTCCGTCTCTCAACTTTACTAAGCATGATGTCATTTTCCAAAGACTGGTCTCATGATAACATGTCTAAAGTTTATCTGATAAACCTTGCCATCCTTATTACTTTTTAAAAAAATAATTGTTTTGGGGGCTTTTACATCTCTTATAACATTCCATACATCAATTTTATCAAGCATATTTGTACATATGCTACCATTATAATTTCTATAACATTTTCTATTTGAGCCCTTGGTATCAGCTCCTCTCCCCCCACCCCTCATAACATTTTGAAATAAATCAATAGATCCACCTAAAAATAGTCTCAAAAGAAAAAAAAAACTAAAACACACGTTATTTTTATTGATTTTTAATAGATTTCAATATCCACAGAATGTAATATGAAATAAAGTTCACCAAGTTTGAAGTTAAAAAGACATAGTCTTGAGAATGAGGGCTGTCAGAGCAGACCCCAAACCCATCTGAAGACAATGGGACCTCCCCTCACAGAAGGGTCACAAGGAAGGGAGAAGTCCACTAGGACGCAGGACAGCACCAGTGAAACACACAGTACTCCTCTGGCTCCTTGAGGCTTCCTCACCCCCGCTATCATGACCCCAGTCCTGGCTAGACCGGAGCATGTACACTGGTAACAGTAAAGAACTTACGACACACGGAACCCATATCAGACAAACCCCTCAGGAACAGAAATGGGAGTAGTGATATCAGGATGGTATGGGGAAGATGGGGAAAGGAGGAGAGACGGTGGAACTGACTGTAATGATCGACACATAACCTCCCCCACCACGTGTCCCCAGGGGAACAAACAGCAGAAACCATGGGGGAAGGGAGACAGCACGATCAGTGTAAGATATGAAAATAATAATAATTTATAATTTATCAAGGGGTCATGAGAGTGGGAAAGGAGGAGGGAGGGAAAAATTGGAGCTGATACCAAGGGCTCAAATAGAAAGTAAATGTTTAGAAAATAATGATGGCAACATATGTACAAACATGCTTGATATAATTGATGTATGGATTGTTATAAAAGCGGTAAGAACCCCTATTAAGATGATCTTAAAAAAAAGATAGTCTTACTATCAATCTATAATATGAGATAAAGATATCCTTTCTCTCATGAAAAGAAAGAGCAGTAAGTTGTCATAAATATAGTTATAATAATAGAAGATAGTAAAAGCTAACAATTATTAATAAGCACATGGCCAAATAAACATTATAATAAGCATTATGACATTCATTAATTCTCATAAAAACTGTTATCAGAGGAAGTATTATGAAACAATTTCTATTTAGGGTTATGTCTTACTAAATTAGCTTAAGACTGTGATAGCCTGCCCCATATAGCATAATTATGATTCAAATGTTACAAATGAGAACACTGAAGCAAAGAGAAGTGCTAGCAAGGACCGGGCAGACGCAGACCCAAGCAGCCTGCATATGGAAGCTGAATACTTAACCCTCTACTGCTGCCTATTTCCATGCAACTCTTGACAAAAACTTAGTGAAATGGGAATACATACCCATTAATCTTTTCCTTTGAGCACTAGGTGTTGCTGAGAGAAATTTACTTTTGTCACTGTCCTGTTTTTAAAAAGAAAAGGGAATATAGTTAAGTAGTCAAATAAAGATAATAGTGACACAGAAAATTAATGACTGGTCTGAAAGATGCTAGCAAAGAAAAAATATACACTGTTTAAAGGACAAGTCTCTAATTTAAGACTTCAGGAAGATAAAGATAAATTAATTTGTTGGAAAAAAATAAGAGTAGAACAACAAAAACAAACTCCAAAGGATTCCTAGAGAGACTCTGGAAATTGTATTCAAGATACTTATAGAATATGTAGTTAAAGGAAAAAAAAGTACACTCATGTTCTTCCCCTGACGACCCAGAAACCCCCATAAAATCTCTCAACTGAAGAGGCCAAATCTTTGGGGCCAGTGAGACCGCCCAGGCCTATTCAGAAAGGCAGCAAGCATTCGAGATGTCACTCTGCAGACACAATGTGCTCCCTTTTCAACAGGACAACAGTGGAGCTGATAGGGGCACCCGGCAAAACAGTGGGGTTGGATGCAGGGTTGATGGTCCAAAAAGAGTGCTGAATTTTTGTTGGAAACACTTAAAAATGCAAAAAGTCATGCTGACCTTAAAGGTTTACATGTGGATTCTCTGGCCATTGAGCACATCCAGGTGAACAAAACTCCCAAGTTGTACCACCGGACTTACAGAGCTCATGGCTGGATCAACCCGACCATGCGCTCCCCCTGCCACACTGCAGGGATCCCGATGGAAGACAAACACCTTGTTCCTCCACCAGAAGAGGAGGTTGCTCAGAAGAAGAATATCTCCCAGAAGAAACTTGGAAATGTTTAATGTTTTTGACCAAGAGTCTCAAAAAGTTTTTATATTTTGCTATCTTGACCTAGGACATGTGTGCACATGTATCTGAAATAAATTGCGATGAAACAGTAAAATCAGAAAATTTCAATTCTGTTCTATTTCATTTTTTAAAATATAGGTCATCCTACTAATCAGTTTCAAACTGAAACAATCTGTACCCACAGAGCTTGACTATCAGGCCTGAAAACTGAGAGCACGTGTGTCAAAATAATGAGTGTCAGAAATTCCTTGTTCAAAAAATAAAGCTGTAAATTAATAAGTAACTACAGTGTTTGCTATAAGAAATTCCTGAAAACTAGTTTATCTGCACAGTTGGCTCCTTTGTCAAACCACTCTCACATTGGGACAACAGATAACTCAATAGCTGGCTTGATAAATAATAGTTTATTTATCAAAAAAATAGTTTATTTATCAAGACTCACTTCTCTACCTATCCAAAAATACCATGTTATAAACTTTGCTCAACAGTTCCCCATCTTAAAAAAATCTTCCTTAAACTACTTGAGCCAGATTCCAAAGCCTACACATATCCTTTCCTGAATTCCTCTTCCAATTCCACAGCACCAAGCCCGTGTCCCAGCAATGTCCTCTATTGCAAGAGGGCTAGTAAACTTAACTGTTTGATTAGTGGGTTTTCTGGAGGCCTTTTGGGAAACAAGATCCACTAATGATTCTGATCCAAAATTTGAAAAAGAATATGATAATAGAGCTAAGTTATTGATTAGATTATGAAAATGCATTTTATTCATTTACAGTGATATAACCCCCAAGGTACAATAGTACTGGGGGAAAGCATTTTTAAAGTCATGGGAAGCTCCAACATTCCTAATCCCACATCTCCACTGAAACCAATTGCTATGGAGTTGATTCTGACTCATAGCAATCCTATAGAACAGGGAACATCACCATAAGGCTTCCCAGGCTGTAAATCTTTCTCTGCCGTACCTTTTTCATGGGGGTTTGAACTGCCAATCTTTTGATTAGCCTTGTGCTAATAAACCAATCTTTTAATTAGCAGATAAGTGCTTAAGAATTGCACCACCAGGACCCCTAACATGCCCCCAGACTCTTATCTAGCCAGGTCTGCACAGGCCATGTCCATGCCTTGAACGGTCATCCACACTCTAATCCAGGCATGTCTAAACCCACAGCCACCCAGGTCTGGACACACCTCCCACTCATCTATCCAATTCCTATGATTCCTCCATGTCCATCTGGGCTTGCCCACATCCACGCAGGACATTTGACAATTCATGATACAAATACAAAACCACAACACACAAAAGAGAGGATAAATAACGTCAACTGTTTTCAGCAACCCTGTAGGAACTTATCCATTTTACAGCCAACTTAGTGTTTCAATGTAAATTGTAAAATAATAGATTAATGGGTCAAGCCTCATGAAATTACAGAAGAGTATATATAAACACACAAAACAAAATCCATACAATTTCCAGGCCGGCTCTACATGCTGGAAACACCCAGGAATAGTTCTGCCATAGCAGCTGGGAGCAGTACACCTGGCTGCACGGTCCAGCATGTCTCCTTCCTACTTGAGTGAAGTCAGGCAATTTATTTAGACAATTACCTGTAAATTATAAAGCACTTTATAAATTAAGAGATGAAATGGGTATTTTTTTTTTTTTGAGATTATAGGTGAAGTTCACCTTATTTTCTTTTCTTTTTTTTTTCTTCTCTTTTTTAACATTTTATTAGGGGCTCATACAACTGTTATCCCAATCCATACACACATCAATTGTGTAAAGCGCATTTGTACATCGTTTCTCAAAACATTTTCTCTCCATTTAAACCCCCGACATTAGGTCCTCATTTCCCCCTCCCTCCCCGCTTCCCCCTCCCTCATGAGCCCTTGATAGTTTATAAATGGGTATTTTGTCATATCTTGCCCTGTCCGACATCTCCCTTCATCCACTTTTCGGTTGTCTGTCCCCCAGGGAGGAGGTCACACACAGTTCCATGTAATCGGATCCCTCTTTCCTACCCGAAATGGGTATTCTTTAATCATGTCTTACTTTGAAACAATTATGTTTTTCTTTGGCTTTAGTCAGTTACTTACCTTCAGCTGAACACTGTCTGACGTAGAATGTCCTAGAGAATGAAACAAAAAGCCAAGTCTTACTCTACAAGTACCTCTTGTTCATCATGGTTCAGTATCATTAGAAGCGCACTGTAGTTTCTCAGAGGCGGCTGCATATTGTTACATTCTCAATTAACGGCACCACTGACCCACAGTCATCAAGTCAATCCCTACTCATTGAGGCCCTGCAGGACCGACTGGAACTGCTCCTCAGGTTGCTGGGTATAAATCTTGATAGAAGCAGACAGCCTTATCTGTCTTTCTGGAAACAGCTGGTGGATTCAAACCATGAACCTTGTGATTAGCAGCCCAATCCTTAGCCCGCAGCATTACTAGAGCTTCTAGGGGCTGAATTTTCACCCTTCATTTAATTATTATTCCAATTAGTGACAGATATTTTCTGCATGCTATCCATAAGGGTTTCAACCGCTAATTTGTCCGAAGTGCACAACCTCTTCCTTGTTCATAGTCCGTTCTCAGTTTGGAAGCTTGGCTGAAACTTGCTCACTTTGGGTGGCGCTGCTAGTATTTGAAATGCCAGTGTCATAGCTTCCAGTGTCACAGCGTCACAGCAACACACAAGCCACCGCAGCACAACACACGGACCGACACGTGACCTCTTCAGAGCACTGAAAAGCAAGGAAGATACTTTGAGGACTAAGGTGTGCCTAATCAAAGTCAGGGTATTTCCAATTGCCTCATATGCGTGTGAAAGTTGAGCACTGACTAAGGAACACCAAAGAAGAATTGATGTTGTTGAGGTAGGGTGCTGGTGAGGAATATTCAAACACCATGGACTGTCAAAGGAACCAACACAGCTCTCTTCATGGAAATACGTCCAGAGGCTGCTGCCGTCGTCGTTGTTGTGGTCAGCGCGCCGAACTCCTGGGATCCGAGAGCCGCCTTGGGCCCCTCCTCGCCACCGTCAAGAAGTGGATGTTCAAGGAGAACCACTCGTTGGAACACAGATGCATGGAACCCGCAAAAATCCACGCGAAATAGCCTGACAGGGTTCTGGTGATTGTGGGAAAAGTCTCTGGCTCTCAGATTGTTGACACTGACAAATGGAAGTACCTGGTACCATCCGACATCACTGTGGCTCAGTTCATGTGGATCATCTGAGAAGGCAATCTTCCTCCTTGTGGACAAGACAGTCCCACCGTCCGGCCTGACTTTACGAGAAGGAGAGAGAGGAAGATGGGTTCTGGTAGGTGGCCTACAACGCAGAGAACACGTTTGGCTTCTGAGGGCCAGCGGGGGCCAGGTGCACTGTTCCTGTGTGTGGATCTTGTAAATAACCTGCTGTTTTCAGTTACTACACAGACCCTTTCGACACAGACCGATTAGTGCATTTGTAACTGGATTTATTTCTTAATATATTGGAAGGTTTTGTTCCTTAGATAGTAAATTATCAGAGTTTATTTTGAGTTTTTCTTTTTGTGCCTTGTGCTCATGGCTCTAGGCCCCGGGGGAACTGTTCCTCTGGGAATCATATTTAATGAAAATATTTCCACATTGAAGTGAGGTAGGTGAGATATTAAGGTGACAGAGAGGGAGATGACACATTGGTTCTGAATTATGTCTGAAGTGTTAGATAGCTAAGTATTAAAAGCACCCAGATAAATCCTTAAAAAATCAGAACACTTGCTTCACTAGATTTTTGCCAACTGCCAATCTTGTTGGACTGAGCTAATCTGTTCCTCTTTTTGAAACTTAAGGCAAATGATTAACAATAAAACTTCTCTTGTGAAGACAAAAAAAAGAGAAACACATCCAGAATGCTCTTTAGAGGCAAGGATGGTGGGACTTGCACTTTGGACATGTCATCAGGAGAGACTAGTCTTGGAGAAGGGCATCATGCTCGGTAAAGTGGAGGGGCAGAGAAAGAGAGGGCCACCCTCACCATAGTGGTGCTGCAAAATGGGCTCAAAACACAAGAACAATGATGGGCAGTGTTTCGTTCTGTTGTACAAGCAAAACAACTTGCTGGTATCTATCAACAATAGTAACACTTCTGCATTTCTATAGTATTAGTGTAACAAGAAAAAAATGATGCCTTTTTCACTGTTGATTAAAAAGTACACTTTAGTTGGAATAGAGCATTCATAAACAGATCTGAGAAATTATGCACAAACAAGGTTTTTAAAGCTTTATTCGACAGATAATGACACAGTAAATCTTTCCTGGACATTTAGCTAACTCAAGCAAATGATAAAAGACTTTAAGTGTCAATCTGCACAATTTCAGTTGGCCCACACATTTCCTCTCTACTGACTGCTGGACACAGGTATATTAAGGTACACAGGGGGAATATTAATGGCATTTTGTTGAATGAATTAACAGAGCAGAACAGAAGAAAATATACATTTACTTGCACTAAATAAATAACATTCTGTAATGTGGTGCAACCATGAAAACTTTTTTCAAAGAACATTAAAGACTTACCCTTGCTACTTTGAGGTGTGTTGAGTGTTACTTCCGGATCCATCTTCGAATGGCATGGAACCATTTTCCTCGGTGGTTTTGCTAGTTCTGAAGCTGCAAACACACAAATTAAAAAGAAATGCAAGAACAGCAGCTGGGAGGCAGCAGCTTTACTGCCCTCAAGTAAAGGCTTCTGAAAACCCGCGGTCACTGTTAACGGAGAGGCACATCAACTGAGCAGGGACAGAGTATTCGTGTGCAAGGAAACGTGGGTTTACTTGTACTTACTACTAATCTGCAATGAACGCTCTCATCACAAGTAAGCCTGTGTTCACCTGACTTACTGGATTCTCCATCCTCGGTACAGATTGCTGTTTGAAAAGGGGCCATGCTTCTATAGGAATAAGCTGTAGCAGTTGGAATAGGGGCAGATGCATACCAAGAAACAGAATCTTTGATGTGGTGTATAAGATGGCAAACTGTTTAGTACATACTACTATGCAACCACCAGTAAGCCTGTACTTGCCTTGCTTATTTGGTAGTCTGACACAGAAACCTACCCATATTGAGTACTTCTACATTCTATAGTACAGAACTTCAAACTCGTATGGAAACCAGATTTGTTGATCCACTAAGAGTGGAAGAAAACTGGAATCTAATGCTCAGAAAAATAAAAAAACATATAGACACACAGTTTTAGAGAGAGAGCCTGTTTATTAGGAGTTACTAGTGGTAGGAGATAGGAAGGAAAGGGGGTCAGCAGAGAGAGAAAAGCAATTAAGGAGAGGATGAGGGCAATGAATGTACAATGTGCTTTACACAACTGATGTGTGTATGGATTGTGATGAGAGTGGTATGAGCCCCTAATAAAACGATTTTAAAAAAGCCAATTAAGGATGGGGTTGCGCAGACAATTACTGTAACTGCTGTCAATAAGCCTCTTCCTCATTGCCATGAAATCGATTCCAGCTCATATTAGTCCTAAAGTACAAGGCAGAACTGTCCCTGTAGGTTTGCAAGACTGTAACTCTTTACAAGAGTAAAAAGCCTCATGTTTTTCTCTCTCAGAGCTGCCGGTTAGTTTTGAACTACTGGCCCTGTTGACCAATGCATAACCACTATGGCGCCAGGACTCGTCAATAAGTTACAGACTTGTAAAAAGTTGAATTGTCAAAATTGTGTGACAGGTATATTTAAACAAGAAAAACAAAACCAAACCCTTGTTTTCTAAGGCTTCTTATGTACAACCAAACAGATCAATGGATTTGGTTCCCTGGTTTTCAGGCTAAGTTTCATGGGGCATCGCAGGTAATTGACCTATTAACAATTTAGTATTTTTGTTCTACCTCGTAGTTTGTTGTGTAATGCTTGAGATCTTACACACTTGTAAGAAACCATAGAAGGCCCAATAGTTGGTATCTACTCACCTGCAACAACAAGGAGAAGAAGAGTCAGCAGTAAGAGGATATGAAATGTATAGCTAATGATCTCTAGGAACGACTACTGGATGGTGCCTGGCTATGATTACAGAACTTTTAGATCAAAGGTTCCATAGAAGAATCTTGATCAAATCAGGGGCAATACAGACTAGAATTTCAGTTTTCAAGGAGTCTGAGGAAACCTCATAGCATAGTGAGGTAAACATGGCCACAAGATCATCAATTCAAACCTACCAGCAGCTCCCCAGGACAAACACGAGGCTGCTCAATCCCATAAGGATTTACAGTCCTGAAAATCCTACAGAGCGTTCCACTCTGTCCTATAGGATGGCTAAGAGTTGGAATTAACTTGATGGCAGAGAGCTTTGGGGGGAGGGCGAAGGGAAAGGGGACAGAGTTTTTTGGTTTTTTTTTTAAACCTTGGACAGAAACTACCCCATAAGCCATTGTTAAACTAAATGAATGCTTTAGTCTAACTAATGTTTGCTTTGAGCAAACCACTTTCATAAAGACTTAGCCCTGTAAGTGTAACTGACTAACGCACAAATGAAAATGTTTAAAGGTAGGGAGCCTAAATGAATGGTGCTGAAACAACACGGGTAAAGAGGGAGTGGTGACAGACACACGTGAAGTACAGAAACTTCACATGTAAAGTACATATATATATATATATATGAACTAGAGCCAGAGTAGCAATTTTTCCCTTATCTTCGTGTGTGTGTGTGTGTGTGTGTGTGTTCGCGCGCACACACACTGCTATCAAGTGAAAATAAACACATGATATGTTACTTTACTGCCTCCCAAACCTTCTAACCTAGTCCCCATTTTTATACTCTGCTCTTGAGAAGGTCTCGGGATTCCCACGATCATGTCTACAGACCAATGGCTTCGTGTTCACCAGTCTCGTAATCCTCTCGGATTCACCACACTTAGGAGAGTGTGGTGAATTCACCACTATTCCCTTGGGGTTGCCCATCCATCTGGAACCTACAGCATTATTTTAGTTCCTCTTGGTAGTTATTCCAACAGGAATTATTCACTCTTTTCATCTTCACTACCATTCTACCTATAAGAATGTCCAATGCTCAATCTTTGCATCTCTATTTTTATCGTGGTGGTATATACACCTATAATAACAATAAATCACCATTTCAAAATGTATAATTCAGTTCTGTGATTTTACAAAGTCCTCCTTGAGAGTCTACTTCTAGTCCCAAATATTGGTTAGACAAATTATACTTAATCATTACGAAAAATAGTTAAATATAACTTCGAAGTCAGAAATTTTTGTAGAAATGTTTGGCTAACTCTATCTTTTTACCATGGCTGTTAAAAGAGTTGGTGCTGACTTATCGCAACGCTAAAGGAGAAAGTGGAACCGCTCACTAAGGCGTCTGAAGCTGCCCGTCTCTCCAGGAGCAGCGGGCCTCCTCTTTCCTTTGTGTGCAGTTGATGAGTGTGCACTACCGCTGAGAGCAGCGTGGCCACCAGGACTCTACAACTTCTTCTCAACAACTCACTGCCATCCAGTCAATGGCAACTCACAGTGGTCCTAAAGGAGGGGGGACAACTGCCTTGATGAGTTTCCTTCTTTCCCCTGAAGAGCAGCTGATGGTTTCGAACTGCTGACCTTGTGCTTAGCAGCCCAATGTGTAACCACGACTCCACCAGGCACATACAGAGATACATGTTACGTACATTTACACCTTTTTGGAGAAGGTGAAACTGATCACAGAACTCAGAAAAGCAACATACCTAGCTTAGACATCTTTTCAGAGTGTTTTCTACTTTGAAAAGAGTAAACTTTACTCCCACTATCTGCAGCTGAGCCATTTTTCAAGGATTCTGAAAGAGAAAAAGCAACACACATTTAGAAAACGAGGGCAAAGGAAAACAATAGAAAATTTAGTTCAAAACTTAGTATCCGTACCCTTGCTACCTTGCATAAAGGTCTCTTCTAGAAATACATATCTATACAGAAAAGCATTTAAAAACAACAAAAGAAGATGTGACCTCGGAAAGGAAATAAGAGGTCACAGCTGAGGCTGCTACCACGAACGTGCAGGTGTTGCACTAGGCAAGGAAGGTTGCTGTGGAGACCACGCTCACGAAGATGAAGCCACCTTCAGTCTTCACGGCGTTGCTCTAATTATGGTGACAAATTTAACACAGAGGTGGCCACTTTTTTTCTTTCTAAAATGTACCCCAAATTATAAGTTAGTAGAAAAAAATATTAAAAACTGTTATTAGAAACATCTGGTTTTCACTGTACAAAGTATAAAGCGCATTCTCTACCTCTCACCTGATGTAAAATTAAAAAGAAACAACTAAGAAATGTTTTAAGAAATAAATCTTTAAAAAAGGAAAAAATAAAAATAAAATGATTTATAAAAAAAAAAAAGAAATAAATCTGACATATATCTATGAACTTGGCATAGAGAAGGATATCTTGCCCAACCCATAAGCAAGCTTTAGACTAGGTGGGCAAAAAAACCCTTTTTGTCATCTAATTACATAAATATTGGTGAAAATGTGAAAAAATTAGGAGCTCTTAAACACCTGCCTAGGTAAGACTCTAAAACATATTTTGTAGACCTAATACCTCATACACACAAGAAAACATATACAAGTGCTGATTATTAGTGCATTATCTGTAAGACAGGGAAAACTGAAAACAAATACAAATGTCCATCATTGACTAGGAAATAAAATATAGTCAAGTATGAAATGCCATACACAATGAATACAAATGGCCTGAGTCTCTCTCTACATTTGAGGGCAAGTCAGACAGTATTGTTGCAAAGTCACAGCAACATTTATTCCATGAAAATATCAAAATGTGAACCTATTATTCCTTGGCATGTCCTCCAGCTAGGTCTACGCTTTCGGAAGGTGGGGTTTCCATTTCTTTAACTCTTCCCTGTAGAATTCTGTGCTGTTATTATATATTCCATTTAAACCTTGTCAAAATAGTTTCGGCGTCCTCAAGGCACTCAAATGTTGTTGTTTTTAATGTTCTTGAGTTTTGGGAACAGTAAGAGGTCTGAAGGAGCAAGATCAAAGCTAAAGGGCACAGTGAGTAAAGTTTCCGAGAAAAATTCTCACAAGCCAGTTCTTGCTGTCCTTGTAGAACAAGTGCACTGCATGACGGGAAAAAGTGTCCTTGGTGCAGCTGCCTGGCTTTTCCCTCACTAACGCAGTTTTCACTTTTCTTCAAATGTCTTCCCAGGGGCCGGCCCCAATCCCAACTACGTGGACACCTGGCCCTCCCCTCAGATGAATTTACTTCAGAGGACAGCACTGAATCTGCAGCTCCGGGGGAGGGACATGTCTGATCAGACCACACGGGAGCAAATGAAGGGGGAGGAAGAGAGAGTGGAGCACATCTTGGCCCACCAAGCCTTGAGGACAATAATTCCCACTCAGAGCAGCCAATGCACAGAGAGGACCATATGACCGGCCCCATTATGGAGACACTGTGGGAATTCCGCCCGATCTGGCCCCACCACACCGAGGCAAAACACTAAGGGCGTGCAACAGAACAGCGAGAGGAACAGAGCAATGAGGTCCCCAGGAAATACCAAAATCAGACTTCGGGGCCAGGGCGTGGCGCCCCATCAGACTGGACCGGAAAACACTCCTAAAGGCTAACGGTCCTTGAACTAAAAAAAAATGTCTTTCCGATAAACACCCAAGATTGTTTTGTGACCCTGGAGAAAAATCTACCAAGACTATTTACCTCTCTGGAATCCCCAAACACACCTCCATAGCCTTCTGGGCTGACTTGCTGAGTTTAACTGGCCCGGCAGGTTTCCTTAGAAACCACTGTTTTGATTGGACATTGCTCTCTGGATTAGTAAAATCAAGACTCATCCCTGGCTACAGTTTGTTTCATAAAATTGATTTCAAGATCCTCAATCTCACTTAAAAGACTGCTACGAAATGGGATCTTGGAGCTAGCTGACTATCGAGTAATGCTTGCAGAAGTCAAGATGGTTGCTTAAGATAGAAAATGCTGTATTATGTAAGAACCCAGCTTTAGGAGCTATTCCATCACTAGTAGTTCTAGATTCTTTTTCCACTAGTTTCTGAATTTCAGTCAGTTTCTTCATTTTTCCAGTTGATGGTTTTCCTTCCCTTGGCTTGTCTTTGAGGTCTTCCTTAAAACAACTGAGCGCCCTAAAACGTCTTGTTTTACGTAGTGCAACATTTGTGTAAACTTGTTGGAAAGCTTTAATTATTTGAAAAGATGTCCACTTGAGTTTTGTTTAAAATGTGGTTTTACCCCTGATCTCAAAATTGTTTTTCCCGTAGCACAAAAAAGTATCCTTTTTATAGAAGATACTATTAATGGGACTGATAAGTGTATCACTGAGAGAACTTGACGCAGCCATCCACTGAGTGAAGAGGCATGTTTCAAAATGTTTTCTTTGGGATAAACTCATGTATATATGAATTAGAAGCCAAGTAGCAATACTTTTTGACTTACTGCTGTGTATCAATACATAATGTCAAAATTATAAGGTGATTAGATGAAAGTTACAAAGGTATATAAAGTATAATACTGTTTATATAAAAATTCGGGGAGGTAGGGAGGGAAAAAAAAGGAACTGATCCCAAGGGCTCAATGGAAAGTAAATGTCTAGAAAAGAACGATGGAATATATGTACTAATATGTCTGATAAAATTCAAACACACAAACGGTATATTGTTCACAGGCACACAAAAAATAAATATACAGTAAACAGGTTAGAGAGATAAGCACTTAGTTCATAACAGTAGTTACCTGTTACGGGAAGACAAGAGACTTTGCTGGTTGAATTCTTGAAGCAAACATGCAGAGTACATTAACTTTGAGGGTACAGTTTAAATAGTTACCAAAAGCTAGAAGTGCTTTTAATTGTCTGTCTCCAATCATCTCTTTGAATAACAATGGCTACCTATAAACATAATAAACACTCATGGCTAGTAGCCTGCTTTCTAGTAAAGCAGTTCTCAAAGTGTGATCCAAGAAACTCAGGAGGTCAAAACTATTTTTATAATATTAAGATACTTTGCTTTTTCACTCTTAAATGTAAACAGTGAGATATCCCAGAGGAAATCTGACATGCACGGATGCAGTCACCCTGGAGGTTAACAAAATGTGGGAAGCTGAATGAAAATCTGTCTTCTCGTACATTGGACATTTGCAAAAATGTAAAACAATGCCTTCCTCAGTAAATGTGTATGGCTTGGAAATAGTGTGCCTTCATTTAAAAGACATGTAATCTATGTTAGCATGATAATTATTACTATGGTTTTTAAATGAATAAATATTTTTAAATTATAGCTGGTGGCTGAAATATATAATTTACCCTTCCCCTGTTATTTTGGTGGTCTCTAGTTTGTTGCTATCACAAATGACATTGCATGAATATCTTATCTATATTTGTTTTATTTTTAATTAAAAGATCATTTTATTGGGGGCTCTTACAACTCTAATAACAATCCATACATCAATTGTCTCAAGCATGCTTGTACATATGTTGCCATCATTCTTTTCTAGACGTTTACTTTCTAGAGTCCTTGGTATCAGCTCCCCCCCACTTTATGTCCCCTTGATAAATGACACATTATTATTATTTTCATATCTTACATTGACAGCTGTCTCCCTTCCCCTGTGGTTTCTGTTGTTCATCTTCCTGGAGGGGGTGGTGTGTGGTTATGTGTCCAACACTGCGGTCGGTTCCCCCACCCTTCCGATAACGCTATTCCTCCCCTGCTCTGGAACTCCTGTGCTTTGAGCTCGTAACTGTACCTGTGCATATCCCTGTCTAGCCTAAAGGGAAAGGCCGCACTGGGGCCATGACCTCAAGAAACCAGAAGACTACTGTGTGTTTCATCAGTACTTTACTGCGTCCTGGTTGACTCATCCCTTCCATGTGACCCCTCTGTGAGGGGGTGTCCCACTGTCTACAGATGGGCTTTGGGTCTCTGCTCCAACCCCCCTCATTCTCAACAATATGCTGTTTGTTTGTTATGGGTCTTCTGATGCCTGTTACCTGGTCCAGACGACACCTCATGATTGCACAGACCAGTATGTTTCTTCCATGTGGGCTTTGTTACTTCCCTGCTAGGTCACTATTGAATTTTAAGCTTTCAAGGCCCCAGACGCTATATCTTTTGATAGCAGGGCACCATCCGCTTTCTTCACCACATTTGCTTAGGCACCCATTTGTCTTCAGCGATTGTGCAGGGAGAGTAAGCATCACAGAATGCCAGTTTTTTAAAACAAAGTGTTCTTGCGAGCAGAGGCTCGAAGCCTGTCCACTACTTCAGTGTATTGCCATATAAATATATGTCCATAGGCCAATATCTCTATTTTTATGAATTAATGTATCTACATATGTACACACCTATGCTTATACCTCTATCCATAGCTTTGCTTCCTAGATCGTTCCTCTGTTTCCTTTTACCTTCCTCCTGCCCCACCATCACGCTCACCCTACTTCGACCTCGTAGTACTTCCTCTCAGATTGCTGTTGCTCCAACACCCCCAGGATCTCTACATTCCTCCTTGTTGTTGATTTTAATTCCCTAGTTGTTCCCCTGTCTGTGGCGTTGTTTGTTCACTGCTCCCTTCCCCCTGCCTCCTTCTCCCCACAAGTCCCTCAAGGATGTTGGTCCGTTGCTTTCTCCTCGAGCTTGCTTCCTATGCCCGTCTTATATAAGTAGACAAACCAACGATATCATAGCTTATCTGTTTTACACAAATATGCATGTGCATGAATTTATCTGACATGTCTATCAAGTGGAATTGTTTTGACAAAAATTTTATGAAAGTGTGACATTACAAAACACTGCCAAACTTTTCCCAAGTGGAAAAAATTCACTCTCATTGTTTAAGGGTTCCTACTGATCTCTAATTTGTATTTGCATTAATATTTGGTATCATCCAGACTCCTCAATCTTTGCCAATCTAATGAGTATAAAATGACTGTTAAGGGGACAATCTTTAAAGGTTAGAAGCATGTCCAACAAAGGGACTGATTAAATTTTGGTACATCTATATCCCGTATATACTTGAGTATAAGCTGACCTGAGTGAGTATCAGCTGAGGCACCTAATTTTACCACACAAACGGCATTAAAAATGTGCTAAAAACTCAGCTTAAACACAAGTATATACGGTAAATGATAGTCTCTGTAGCCAAAGAAAACATAAACAGTGCTTTAGAATAATAATCCACCGTTCGAGATCATAAGGGCAGTACTTGCCCGAGACAGAGTTCAGAAGGCAGGAAGAGGCAGCAAAGACAAGAAATACAGGGAAAGAGTGGGAGGAGTGTTATATTGCAGGGACTGCCATCGATGGCATAAAACAAAATGTGTATGAATTGTTGAGTGGAAAACTAACTTACTCTGAAAACTTCTACTCAAATCACAATAAAAAGTTTGAAAAATATATATAATACTATTCATCCTCAAAAATGTTTTAAGTACAACGTGGCAGGAATCCGCCTTAGGTTGTTTTTAAAGGAAAGAAAGAAAGAAGCCACGAACAGCACACTACACACTAGGTGTGAACAACATTACTTCCTGGGATGCTCTTCCAGCTATGTTTGCAGAGAACATCCAAGGAATTGCTTTATGGAATTATTTTTCAAATAAAGTAGAAATATCTTAAATAATAACTTTTATAATAGTTAGTCTGAAGAGTCTTATTTCCTAAAATTAATTAAATTCAGAATAGGCTGTAAAGTAAATACAGAGCACACCATCACCTAAATAATCAATATTTATATGTACGCTGCAAAGCAGCAATATCAGCTACTAGCAGAAATACTGGTGTACTTCCCCTGCCCCAATCCCCCTCGAATACCTGGAACATCTCTCCCCAAAACTTCCACATAGTTCTGATCTTTGAGGACTTCTCGGTCATCTTCTTCCAGGTCATAGTCTGGTTTCTTGATTATTGTTTTTGTATTGACCAAAAGCTGAGTTCGCTCCTTTTTTAATTTAGCACCTATAAATATATCCAAGGAATTAAAGCAGAGCAAAGACAAACTCTTTTACAATACTACTTATATTGCCATTAGTACTTAAATGCTAAAAATAACATTCTCTCAGTGTTTTCCTGTTAATGGAAAATACTGACCTTTCTTCCAGTTTTCTTAACTAAATTAGAAAAAAAAAAAGTGAAAATATATGATTGCAGTCCAAGTAGCCGCACTTTTAACTACAGAGTGGTTATCATTTACCACTATTTCTGATCATTTCATATTAAATGAGAGTTTATTTTGATCTTTCAGTTAAAGCTTGAATAAAATAAAATTCAAAGTAGTTTTAAATCACAACTTTGTGCTATATCCTCAATATAATTATTAAACCATTTTAAAAAGTGAAGTAATACACAAGCAATACACAAGCATCTTTACAAGAATGTAACCACTCAGTACCTCCTTCTCTATCGAGAATGTGATTCAGAACATCATCATCCCCCACAAACTGAACCTGCAGCATCTTGCTTTGCTTCAATTCCAGTTTACTCATCACAGGCAACCTAAACAAAAGCAAGAAGTCACTCAAAAGCAAAGATTTAACAAACAAAAACCAGTTACACATTAACGTAATGAGCACATGTGTTTGTACAACGCTTTAAAAAGTCCTTTTTGCTTCTATTTAAGCCTTTTGAGGTATTAAAATATATACATTATGAATTACTGTGTTTATATGATCATAGATAATTGAATTTCATATGTGAAAAATGAAAGGAAGAAGTGCTGAGAATGGGGCAAAACCACCTCCCATCAAAGGGGCTCACATGTAAGGTCAAATAACAAGTCTTAGGAGGAAAGCTGTACTCAATCTACAAAACACCACATTCACAGAAAGGAGGCTATGCATCCAAGAGCTCAGAAAATGAGTAGCCCCGGGGGTGTCTGATACCTCACTGGTGCACCAGTCTGGATTAAATAACTCTCAGTTTTACCGTTAGAAGGAGCCCTGGTGGCACAGTGGTTACAGTGGCTGGCTGCTAGAATGACGAGGTCAGTGCTTCAAAACCACCCGGTGCTCTACAGCAAGAAGCTGTGGCGGCTGACTTCACTACAGATGTGCAGCCCTTTGCTCCAGGCTAGCTAGGAATTGATCAGCAGTGGGTTTGGTCTACTTTTATTGCATGCTCACCGAACAACTTTGAGTATTCACCTGACTTTTTAGGCAACTTGGTAATTAAATAGCAAACAAATGATCTTTCCAATACTTCATGGATTTCAGAGTTCAGTTGGCAAGCAAAAGCTTGATCAACTTTACTCTGACAAAATTCAGTTTCAAGACTTACAAATCTACTAGCGTGGAATTAATGATTCTAACACAATTTACACAAGATTCAATGTTCCCAGTGAAAAAAACCTCCTTCCATTTCTCTTATTGATCCTATGTTTGTCTTTTCTCCTGACGAAGAAAAACTGACTGTGGCCCTCCAGGGTCATACAACTAAATGGTACAATGTTTTCTTTTGACAACTGTTAAAATGAAATTACCTGTTTCAATTTTCATTTACCTTGAAAGGTACTATATATTCTACATCTGGAAAATTCAGGTACAGTGACCTGTAATTCAAAATAGAACTCAGTCAGGTTCAGCTAATAGAAAAATAAAAGCAAAAAGGGCAAATGAAGGAGTCCATGAATATAAGAAATAAGATGAACAGTAAATTTAGACCTTGTCACGCCACAGTTGAATGCCAATGGTAAAGTCAAGAGAGCCTTCAGAAGCCTTCTTATACTGACCTAGATATGAGAGGAGGAGGAAGAAGCCAAGTTGTGAGCAGAACGGTGGCAACAGAACAACAGTCATAAAGATGACACAGGACTGCAGAGAGGCCAGGGTCTCGTTCTACTGTACAGAGGGTCCTTAAGGGTGGGAAGGGTCTCCACAGCACCCAGCAAGAACAAGCATGAGGCAGAGTCCTGGGAGGGACAGCTAAGAGCACGAACCAAAGGTTGGAAGTAGAGCCCACCTAAGAGATGTCTTAGCAGACCTGTTTTAGAAAGAACTAAGCCAGAGTGACCTAGGAAGAACAGTTCTATGGTGACCTACATATCACACTGAGGCAGAGCTGACGCAAGGCAAAGGATTTTTATGTGCTAGATGCAGTTTTATGTGCTAGATGCTTTCACATAAACATAATGTTTTATCTATCATTTATATGGCCACTACCAGTAAAACATGCTTCTGGATCATTTGTCTTGTCACGATCTATTTCCTATGCTAGAACATTCTCTTGTCTAAAAGGAGTTGTTTGCCAAGTTCTGTATTCGGCACTTTTAGGTACTCCAGCTCACAAAAATCCTCAGCCTATTTGAAGTGGGTTTTATATGAGCAATCTTGAAAAAGTTGTGGAAAAAGAGAATGAATCATTTCCATACTTTTCGAAATCTCTTTGTATATATGTTGTATATATAATTTCCCCGATTTACCAAAGTAAACTGAGGTTACATATTAAATTACCCAAATGCAGACAATTAGTAGGTATATTCAAGATGACAACCAGGTTTGGTTTATTACAAAGTTCCTGACCATTCTATTATACCACGATCCTTTCCTGATATTAAATAAAAACCTATAAACCTAAACTCTTGCTTTGACCTCTAGAAATTATCCAAAATGTTTCTAAATTTCCCAAATGGCAGTATATACTTGAAGTAACCCAAGATTTATATCCCAAACACCCCCAATACCATCGAGTCAGTTCCAATTCAGAACAGCCTTATACAAGGATTCCGAGACTGTAAATCTTTATGGGAACAGTCAGTTTCCTCTTTTTCCCCAAGGCATAGCTGGTGGGTTTGAACCACCAACCTTGTGGTCAGCAGTCTATTGCCTAACCCACAGTGCCACAACATTTATACAGTAATCTGGTTCATTCGGTTAAACATCACTCGTTCTTCACTTTAAAAGGCATGCTGATTCAACATACAGTAATCAGGTTTTTACTTCAGTACATGCAGCTCTGCTCTTGTGAGCTCCATACAGGCAATAAGCTTCCAGTGATCTCCCTCTATCCATGGTAGAGGATGGGAAGAAACTGGTCACCAGAGTGTGTTGGAGAGATGGCTATACGAGATCAAAGTGATACACTTGACTAGAACATTAAAACCTTGTCAGGTGATCCCCCTCTGATGCATGTTGGGCCTGATCTGGTTTTCAACATTTTCTGAGTTAAAAAAAATTTTTTTTTTATTAGGGTTTATCTCAGATGTAATTTGTCATTGGGTAACCCTCTTGATTTCTGTTACATATTTTTCTGTTTTCAGCACATGAAACCCAAGATTGATGAACCTATGGAGACAGCAAGCAGAATAAGGGTTCCCGGGGGTACAGGAGGAGGGGGAGAAAGGGGAGCTGATGTCAAGGAGTTCAAGAAGGAAGAGATGCTTCGAAACTGATTGTGGTAGCAAAGGTACAATACTGCTTGATATGATTGAACTATGAGATGATTGATCTGTATTAGCTCCCAATAAAATGGTTTTGTAAAAAAAAGGGGGGGGGAGGTTTACGGTACCAGCAACTCACCAGGGCAGTTCTGTCCTGTCCCACAGGGTCGCTAAGAGCCATTATCGACTCCATGGCAGTGAGTTTGTGTTTGTGTTTTTGGTGTTCTACAAGGGAGGCCTGGCAACACAGCAGCTACGCTGACACCAGATTGGCGGTGGAAGGATGAGACTTCATCTAGGAACCCCACAGGGACAGTTCTACCATGCCTTGTAGGATCGGCAGGAGTCAGAATTGACTCGATGGCAGTGGGTCTGTTTTTGTTTTATTTTGTTGTTTTTCTGGTTTGGAGTTCCCCAAAGCACCTGAAAGCAGTGGTAATGAGCAAATGCAATAAAGCAAATGATAAACTACAAATACTAATAGGAAATGTTAACTCGGAAAAATAGAAAGAACAGCAGAAAATAAAAATGGAAAGAAATTTTGTCTCTGAGCTTCTTGGCAGAGTGAAAAGGAATACAGGTCTGTAACATAATTCTCATTAGCAAAAGTTTAGTAGTTCCTCAAACAAACAAACCAAAACCCTGCCATTACCAATTGTAACTCATAAGTGGGTTTGAACCATTGACCTTGTGATCAGCAGCCTAACACATAACCCATTATGTTACATGGGGTCCTTAGTAATTTCTTCGGACGATTAAAAAAATGGCTTTAAAAGAAAATTTAAAACTAAGTATTAGAGGTCAGGTAGAACGAAGGCACACAACCTAGGCGGGCCGTAGCCGCTGGGTCGCCATGACCACGGTGACCAACGCGAGCTTGCCCGCCAGAAGAATAGGAACAAGCAGAGGGCTTGCTGCTGCTGCCTGCAAGCAGAGGGACTCGGAGATCACGCAGCAGAAGCAGAAAAAGGCAAACGAGAAGACAGAGGAACCCAGGTAGCTCGGTGGCTTCGTGTCCAACCCTCTTGCCCCCACCTGCGTGCCTGGAGCCAGTCCCACCAAAATGGCGTTCCTCCTGTAGTGCTCCCCCTGAGTCTGCAGGGGGTCCCTTTTGTGCTTCCTTCCCCTCAGGTAGCCCCTCTCCCCCTGGGCCACACCTGGGGGGTGAGGGGGTTACCCCTGCCCAGTGTTTTTTATTCCTGTGGGGCTCACTCCAAAGTATTAAACCGAGCTTTGTAATTAAAAAAAAAAAGTATTAGAGGTGATATTGTCCAAGGTAACTTTTCTATGGCATTTAAACGCTAAAAATGCTAGGATAGAGAGTCTAACACTAGTGTGTTGTTGAATTCATTTATACATGACTTTCCTTATCTAGATTTTAAAGCATTTAAATTATATAATACAGAATCACCAAATTGAATGTGACAAAATTCTTCCTTCCCCAACAGTTCCCTGAAAGACAAAAACACTTCCCAACAATCACACAATAAAATGTGTGATATTCAGTGATCACCTATGACCTTTCAAGGAGCCCTAAAGGCACAGGACAACTGCTTCTACCCAGGCTACTAACTAACCCAGGAGCTCTGAGGAGTCTTGGTCATTTGCTTCCATAAACATTAAGTTCTAGGAAGCCCTTGGGGGCAGTTCTACTCCTGTTACCCAGGTTGCATCACCGAGTCAGCACCACAGAGAGTACACAACAGTCTTGGTGCTTAGTGTGAGCCATCTCTTTTCACGGAGTTAGGGGACAAAACTCATGAGGGCCAATCGCAAAGCAATACAGCAGCACCACCATGTTCACAGCAACACGTTCTCCTTGGAAAGTAAATTTTAAGTTTCTTGCAACTTTTTAAAAAGGTAGGATGTGGATTAATGATTAAGCACCAATCTTAATATCATACCTTATACTGAGTGACCTTAGATCTCTTAAACGAGATCATGTTTTTAACCAGTATATGAAAACTCAAAGCCCAATCCACTGCCATCGAGTTAATTCTAACTTACAGAGCTAAAAACCAGAGACTCTACATAGGGTTCCCAAGACAGCATTTTTTTTTTCTTCAGGGGCACAAAGCCTCATCTTTCTCCCAAGAAGGTTGGAGGGGCTGCTGGGGGGTTTGAACCCACAGACCTATCAGTTGGCAGTCCAACACCTAACTCACAGGGCTCCTAACCTATAGCCATGGAGTAGGTTCCGACTCATAGCAACCCTATAGGACTGCGCAGAGCAGCTCCCTAGAGTTTCTGAAGCTATAAATCATTAAAGCAGAGCTGATTGCCTCATCTTTTTCCTGCGGAGTCACTGGTGGGTTCGAACTGTTGATCTTGTGGTTAGCCACCAGGGTTCCTTAAGTGTTCACTGAACGCTCGGGGTACTGATATCTTTACTTCCACGCAGATCTCTTGTACATCTTTGAGCCTCCTTCGACATCGAACCACGGCCACAAACAAAAACCAAAAGACAAAATAAAACGCACTCACTGCCATCGAGTCAATTCCGACTCATACATGACTGGCTTCCCGTGCAGTGGCTCTTTACACATAGGTGCAGGGCCAGTTGCTATCCTCCAATGGCAGTTAAGGATGGGGTGTCCGGGTGCCACTATGATTTCAACTGTAAAATGGTAAGCTATGCACCCCCCCCCCCATCCTTTTCATTTTGAAAGCTCTGCCGAAGGATCCTGGCTTACCCCCGTTTCACACCCGAGCCCAGACCCAGGGTGAGCGTTCGTTAGCAGGACCGCTGCTTTCTGTCTCGGTGACATCACAGGTGCTCACCGCGGCGCAGTCCGGGGTAGTGACCTCCCAACTCCGGCGCCCCTCTGACCTGCTGCTCTGGGGCACTTCCACCGCCAGGCAGCGGATTCCTTAGGCCAGGGAGCCCGGAGGTTAAGCTGGCGCGGGCGTCCCAGGCACTGAAGGGACACGCAGTCCTCCCAAAGGGGGCTGCTCTCGGCCGGCCACAAGCACTCAGCTGCGGACCAGCGGGCTTCTGCGCTCCGCCAGCCGAGGGTCCTGGCCGCACGAACCAGGGGGCCGCCTGGAGAGGGCGGAGCGGGAGGCGCAGGGACCCTGCTCCAGGTGCAAAAGGGAAACCCGGGGCTGGCTGGAGCTGGACTGATGTCGGAAGCCCTCAGCCAAGCAAAAAGCGAAAGCAGGCTGTCCTGTGGCCCCAAACGTACCGCTCGGTCCCGAGGGACGCCCTCCTGGCCGCCTGGCACGCGCAGCTCGTCGCCGGGCTGAGCTGGCGCCGCAGGGAAGACTGCTGCGGCCCCACTCCGGAGGGATGCGGAGGCAGAGCGGAGACACGCAGAGGACTTGAGGCCTGCAGTGGGATGGGACGCCTGCCGGCCGCACACCGAATCTCCCGCCCTGCTCAAGGGGCGGTACCCGGAAGAGCCAATCAGAGACGGAGCCCGCTGTAAGCGACGGTTCTGAGAGCCAATCAACGCCTGCCAATCCAGCCCCGCCCACAGGGGAACCTGAGGGTAAACGAATCCTGGAGCGTAAGGGTTCTGGGCCTTTCCGTTTTCCATTTCCGGGGAAGGGGTAGGAAGTGATGGTGGGAGCTGCAGAAATCAGAAGTGTTGGTTGGGGAGACCGCGGGTTAATTGCTTGCTGAATGTCTGGGGCAAACTTATTTTTATTGACTTTAAAATACCTCTCTCGCGCTCTCTTTATGTGAGATAAAACATAATGACGATTCGCGTGGGGTTTTTGTTTTGTTTTTACTGTTGAAAGGTAGGCACTTGTACAACCTCGGGATTTGGAGGGAGAGGAAAGTACCTTCTGTAAAGACAAGGGCTAGGACCACTTCAGAGCACTGAAGATAGAGATGAAATGAAACATAATTTAAAGGGATCCAAACCCATTGCCCTGTCATCGTTAGCCTATAATGCAGTAGGCAGGCCCCATAGTATTTCCAGCGTTGGAAATCTTTATCTAAGTAGACTGCCACATCTTTCTCCCACGGGCAGCTGGTGGGTTCAAACTGCATTTTGCTTAGTGGTCTTTTGTTTAGCAACTGAGTGCTTAATCACCAGCCTCCTTACATACCGTTTCCCCGAAAATAAGACTGTGTCTTAATTTTTACTTCCAAAGATGCGCTAGGTCTTATTTTCAGGGGATGTCTTATTTTTCCATGAAGAATAATATGGTACACATCTATTGTTTAATTAAAAGAGACCTCGCACTTCCTGTCTGCTCTGGCTGCAAGCAGCCAATAATGAGCCCCGAGGCGCCTGCCGCTATGGTAGAGTCCAGAGTTACGGTAGCTTGCCGGGTGTGGGGAGCTTATTTTCCGGGAGGTCTTATTTTTTTTGGGGGGGTACCTTATTTTTCAGCGAGAGGCAAAACTGTAAGTAGGTCTTATTTTCAGGAGATGTCTTACTTTCAGGGAAACGGCAGGAGTGAGGGCAGAAAAGGATATACAAGGGAAGAACTTGGTTGAGAAACAGTAGTATCCACCAACAATAAGATACTTTCCGGATTCATTCGTTGAACAAATATAGTACAAAGCCCCCTGTCCGCAGTTGAAGAATATGCAATATTGAGGAATACAGGATCTTTGTCCTCACAGTAGGAGAAAGTGAGTATTGAGCGGACATATTTATGGTGTAATCACTACAACTCATATCGGCCTTGTAGGACAGGGTAAGAACCTACTACCCCTCTGGGTCTACAAAACGGACTCTTTACGGTAGTAGAAAGCCCCATCTTTCTCCCTGGGACTGACTGGTGATTCAAACTGCTCACTTTGCAATTAATAGCCTAAGCCAGTAACCACTATGCCACCAGGGCTCATTTTTTATGGTATGGGGACCAAAAATCCAAACTCACTGCCATCAAGTCGATGGCTGCTCATAGTGACCCTATGGGACAGGGTAGACCTACCCCTGTGAATTTCTGACACTAACTTTTTGAGACTGTAACTCTTTACGGGACTGGAAAGCTGCTATTTCTCCCTCAGAGCGGCTGCTGATTGCAGACCTTGCTGATTGAAGCCCTACTGGTAACCACTTACCCCACTAGTAATCCTTAACAGGGGAAGCAAGGTGAAATATACTTGAATTTGCACCTTGGCTCTCATGGGCATTTTAATTTTCTTCAGTTAGACTAAATTTGCATATGAACAATTGGCGGGGTCTTTCTGCGTTGGACCCTGTTCTTGTTCTGAAATTGAGCTCCTCCATCATCTCTGCCTATAGATCGAGCCAGTGTGGTTTCTGCATAGTCCATACAATGAAGTCAAAGTGTATCATGGCCATTTATGTTGTTGAAAAAGGTACCGTATTGGCAATGAGTTGATCACTGGTCTTGCAAAATTCTACCATACAATCTCTGATATTATTTCTATCGTTTGATCTCTAGCACTAAGGCCATATTTTCCAAATACCAGTCACATCAAGACATCTTGATTACACATGTGATCAGTTTCAAAAACAAATTGGTAAGAACCATCAATTTCTTCATCTTGGATTTCAGTGGTTGGTGTGTAAATTTAAGTGATAATCGTATTAACTGAGCTTCCTTGTAGGTAAATGGGTATTATCCTATCAGTGACAGCATTGTACTTTAGGATAAATCTGGACATGCTCTTTTGGACAATGAATGTGATGTCGTTCATCTTCAATATGTCATTCTTGGCATGGTAGACCATGTTAGTCCGACTGAAAATGGTCAATACCAGTGCATTTCAATTCATGAATGCCTACAATATGAATCCTTATGAATTTCATTTCATTGGATGGTTTCTAGTTTTCCTTGATTCACACTTTACCCACCGTCCATTTATTTGTGAACGTTTGCAGCTGTTTCTTCTCATTTTGACTAGGGCCACATTAGCAAAAGTTCTAATGGCTTTACTACAATCACATCATGAAAATCAACTTTACTTTGTTTGAGGTGGCAGTTTGTCACCCTATTTGAAGCGCCTTCCAGCCCAAGGGGCTCCTCTTCCAGCACCAGAGCAACATTCCACTGCTCTTCCTGAGGGCTCAACAGCCAAGCTTTTCAGAAGTAGACTGCCAGACCCTCTCTCCTGATTTTTCTTGGTCTGGAGGCTCCTCTGAAGCCTGGGCAGCATTGGTGACCTTGCTGATATATGTAATACTCGTGGGATCGGTTCAGTATCGCACGAACATGCAAAGCCACCGCTGACACACTGGTGGATATAGGTGTCTGAAATTCAAGGAGTCGAGATTAAACGCCTAGAGAGAAATTTTAAGATAAAGAATAGGATTAGGTTCAGATATACTTGAGAACTTTGAAGTGTTTGAGAAGAAATGAGCAATGTTGTAGCATAACAGCCCCCATTTTATGGAGGAAGTAAGACTTAAGCTGCTGAGAAAGTGTTTCTTAAAGTGGTTGGGTTTTGGAACAAAATGATGGCTGGCTAAGAAGTACAAAACATTCAAAATATTAAGGGTCTACGGTTGTGGCCAAGATGTTGTATTAGTACTTACATTGCTCAGTAAGTACTAGTAAGTTTGGGTAAATACAGGAGATAGCCTATAGCATTGATAAGGATCTGAGTCTGTTGTTTTATACATTTCTTTCTTTTTAAAATAATTTTATTGGGGGCTCATATAACTCATCACAATCCATACATCCATCGTGTCAAGCACATTTGTACATTTGTTGCCATCATCATTCTCAAAACATTTGCTGTTTGAGCCCTTGGTATTGGCTCATTTTTTCCCCCTTCCTCCCCACTCCCTCCTCCTTCACGAAC